AATGAATTATTTTAATGTGTTTGTGAGTAAACATTTCAGTATTTTGGCCCATGTTTCTAAACAAAGCGATAGTTTTCACTGGTAAGACTCCTGTAGTAGTAAGTGGTAATTGGGTCTTTTCTGAGAGCATATACAAATATGCCTACAACTAAAGACAATTAGTAGTTATTGTTAGGTTATTGGCAATATTTTGTTTATAGAAACATTTTTATATCGATAATTTTGTTTAAATCTGATGAATGGCACTTGGAACAAAGTTTAAAAGGAGAGTAATTTTACTTAAAAATTGACAATGGATCAACATTGAAGATTAAATTAACATAAAAATATTAAACTTCCTAAAAGGCTAAAGATTTGAATTTGGCAATCAGGCTTTTAGTTATTTATATTTCAGTATGTAAAATATTTTTATATCACCGAATTTGTATGTCAAAAGTGTCCATTACTAAATTCTATCCCTACCAATGAGAAGGACTCTTGGTCGTATTTTTTATCTCATCGTTAACATTTATATGCGTTTACCAACCAAAATGAATTTAATATATAGTATTATAAAACATGTTGTACATTTATTATGTATTTTTTACAGATTATTAACTAACTAAATTCTTTCATCACTAAAAACACATTAAAACACTCTTATAAACATTGTCAAGCAATATGTTTGTTTACTACAAAACCGACAACACATTTCAGAACAGCAGTAGTCAACTCACTATACGTTGATGCTGTCAAGATGTTAGTTAGACAGTAATGCAATTTTAATGATATCATCTATAAAAATGCGCCTTTCGCTAATGAAGAAAGAATTAAGAAAGAAAATGTCAGGAGGTAATTTATACTGTCAAATTAACACAGTATTTTGTAGTTGCTAGATTTCTAAATGCCATCTAAACTGCATTACAGTATAGATTTTTAACTGTATTTTGCACCTGGACGTGATATTGTGACTTGTGTCTCGTTCTTGATATTTCACTTACTAATTTGTGTTTATAGTTCCCAAAATAAGACAAACCCATTTGGAAATAATATAAAAGGCCTAAGTACAACCAAGTGTTGGGTATTATAGTAAAAATAAATTAAAATTAAAACAAATTATTAAAACAAATTAACAAATTATTTTTTTAAATGACACCAAATATTACTCTAAAGCGTTTCTTATAATTTACTTCTAACTATTGTTTACATTCCCGGAATGAAAGCAGATTTGGGTTCGATCTTGCAAAATATGACCCCAGGGCAGAGTACTATGTATTGCACAAATTTTTAACCCATTATCAAACAATTTCTCAAGGAAGTACCTTTTTGCTTAGTCTATAATTTTATTCAACACATTTAATGAACAAAGTTAAATTTATTTTTTTATTTTCAGTTTGTTAACAATTAACAACAGTATTATTACAACTTACTAAAAGGAATTCAGCACACACACTTTGTGTAAGAAAAGTTTAATTTTTGAATAATGATATTATAAACAACATAAATAGTAATCCTAAAATGGTATGGTTGATAACTCAATTGTTTAATGTAAACCACTATTTCCCATACATTTTACTCAAACATTATTTTACTGTGATTAGCATAAACCACAGAATCATCGTTAATATTAAATTATATACACAAAATGTGTTAAATAGTTTTTGCAACCATCATACTTATTTCCCATCTTTAAGATAGGCATACGTTTGTACACGTTTCCTAACTTGATCAGAGAATGAATCAAATTATAAAACACAGTTGTTCAATGGCAATATCTGTAACGTGCCAGATGTTATACAAATCAAGAGAATGCTAAGATATAGTATTTAACCTAAATTTGTGAATTTTTTAGGTTGGGAAAAATGTGTAGGCCTACACAAAAACATCTCCATTTTTTTAATTTTTTACTCTCCAAAAGTCATGCTGAAATATAATCAATAGAATTTTGTGTTTTTATATGAGACTTTTCATTAGATTGTAACTTAACTTACTTATTTTATTAAGTTTATGTTATTGCATAATACATTTTATTTGGACAAATACATATCTTGAAAGAAAATTATACACGATTTAAAGTAAAATACCGAAACAGTAGTAAGAAATTTTACTTTGTACAATATTAGGATATAAAATTACTCCAACCTAATCCAATTTGTCATTGATATTATTTGTATGTAGCCAATAGTTCGATAACCTCCTAGTCTCTGTAGCCCATAGTTTCCATGCAGCCTAGCCGCCTCCGCTCACTGCAGCAATATTTCAGCCGAGTATGCAACTGATAAAGGGTGCATTTGCTTTGTCTTTATTTATTGTTGCGATACGATCGCGACAACTCGGACACTTGACGCTGGGCTAAACGGAATGTATTAGCGACTCGTGCCGCTATATGGCGGGAAAGCGGCGATAAATGGCGCGAAGTATGTGAGGTACGAGTGGGACTGCGTTGTTTTATGTAAGGTAATTTACCGTTTTAAAAACAATTGTTATTATTTTTTTACACTATTAACAGTTCTAATAGTTTACCTTAATGTAGAGATTATATTTTTAATATAAGTGTATTGTATTTGCACATACAGAAATAATTTGACATTCTAGTAGCACGTTGTTTGGGTTTTTAGCCACACACTATTTGCATTTTTAATAGGAAATAGTTATTTAAATTTGTCGTCATTATGAGTCACAAATAAGCATAAAAGTAACGTGGTGTAATTTATACTGAACACCGAAAAAAAATTTTGAATGACATTCCATTTTATTTTTAAGTTAAATACACCTTTGATTTCCAAATGTTAACATCTAAATTGAGCGGATTTATTGAAACTTTACACCAATTAATTCTTAGACTTTCACAGGAATAGCTAATTTAAATGTAATATATTTTAATAGGGTGAGAATATAAATAGCGATCGGTATGCGATAACTTTTGTAGGAAAAACTTTTAAAACTAATAAAAACATTGAAACAAGAAAATTGACCACCAACACTGAACTTGCAACCTTTTTTACCAACCTAAACACTGTCAAAAGATTTATTTTTTATAAAACTCTAGTTTTGTAGTTTTAAAAATATGTCGACATTCTTATGATAATCAATAAATATTTTTTTAACCACATTGAGTAAATTTAAAACCAAATATTAATTTTACAAAACAAAAAAATAAATTGTATATAAACAAACGCTATATACAAATATTTTATAAATAAAAACTTAAATATTCATCTTACCGTCATACCTGAGGAGAGAGGCCGCTTCTCTGGGCGCAGTTCAGACGTCTGACGTTAGAGCGCGGGGACATCAAAAAACTTCACCCTTTCCCTCAACCCTCTCGCAGTTCGCGACGACTCCGCTAGGTGGTAGCACCAGTCGAGCGAAGAGGAGAGCCGCGCAAGAGAACTCCTGATTTAAAACAAAATAAAATTTATAGAACGCCGGAGAAGAGATAATAGCAGAAAACTACATATGGATTATTTTGTATCTCCTCCACCAAAATATAATTCTCTCATTTACATTCCCCTTTTACAATTTCGCTGAGTGTGCAATTTGTGCTTTTCTGTTTATGATTGCAATAAATGTTTATGTTGACCATACAATATTTTCTGTATAATGTTTTAAGATTGTTGATTCTTGTAAAAGTTACAAGAGGTATACTACCGTTGCGTTGTTAAAAATGACCAACCATGTTTCTAAGCAGATGGGTTTTGTGGATTTTTATTCTAACTATTTGTGGAAATTTGATATTTTCTGTTAGTTTATTGTATGATCCATCTCCAAGTTTGATACTGTGATTTTTGCCATCAAAATGTATTTGGCCCTAGAATGTTATGAGAAATATGAACTATTACTGTAAATCTTTAAGACTGTTTGACCCCTTTTTAGTTATTGTTTTATCATGCTATCATACATTATAATTTTTCAATCGGTCCTTTCAACTGTTACCAAGTGACATTTCTAAATATACTCTAGCATGTGGTTCCTAAACTATCTAATAAATGTCAACTCTAGTCTAGTGTTCCCACAACTATCATGACCAAACATTAGGTAATGTCTCCACTTTAGTTAAGCATGTAATTCTCCATTCCTCTTATGGTACACCTCATAAGACATCCCTTAGAAGTTAATAAGAAACGCGAAAGAAAGTGCAGCAGTGTCCAGTGAGAGGGCGGGGGATAAAAATCGGGGGAGGAAGGGTCGAGCCTATTTTTCATTAGGGTTTTTAACCCTTGGATTCCCCTTCCATATAACGCGACTTTTCCGTCGCGAGCCTAGAAGAGGGGTGGAAAGACGGAGATAGAGGGGGAAAATCTTACGGCGCGCCGTGGAGGGGAGAGACGCCGGCGCAGAAAATTGTAAGGAAAATATCGTGAGCGGGGGTGGAGGGGCGAAAGAGAACGAGAGGGGTTTTTCTAAGAGAGAGCGAGAGAGAAAGAACGGGCGGAGAAGGGCTGCCGTCTCTCCGTCTCTTTCGCAAGTTTCCTTCCCTCACCGCGGGGTAGCAAGACGCCGCCACGACGCGTCCGCGACGCTCAGTCTTGGACGCGCCGCGACCCAACGCGCTTCCTTCCTTTCGTCTTCGTCTTCGACGCATCCCCTCTTTTTTATAATGTGGAATTTTTTTCCCTCGCGCGCCTTCTTCAAACGTCTACGGTTATAAGTCGGAGGGATACCGGCGCTCTTCAGTCGTATGTTGCGTGTCGGCGCTTGAGGAACTTCTCAAGACGCTTCCTTCGGGACTTAGACGATTTTACGTTCGGTCTACAACTCAGGACTTTGAAAAATTTTCGGGATTTTACTACTCGGGACTTGGAATATTTTTGAATCTTCTCACAAGAAATAAACATAACAGTTAGTTGATCAATATACTATTTTACGTACAACAATTGAATTTATTGGAATAGCGGAAATTAAAAAAAAGTTTCTGAACGTTAATAATTTTACAAAAATTTTAAAAATTTTACAATTTAAAATAATTTATGTGTGGTTTCAATTTGATAGAAATTCTAATTGAGATTTGTTGGTTTCAGAGAGCGTGAGCGCCGTCCGTCGGAGTGTGGACAGCCAGACTGTGTAGTGCGCGCTATTGACAATCAGTGCAGTTCCATATGTTCCTATAGACTGTGTGTCCGAACACAGAATCAGTACAAAGCCGGGGAGACTCCCGTAGTTCGCCAGTGTCAGGGACGGCCTCCACCACGATATCCACTCCGTTGGACCTGAGAGCCTCGCCAGGGGAAGACCCCGGAGAGGGCGGTCCCATGTCGGCCGACATACAGCAACCCGTGCTGATCCAGCGGCCGGTCTTCAAGATGAACCCAGCGGCGGACTTCTGGCATCAGGCGCGAGGACCTCCGCCTATCTCGCCGACCGACGGCCACAACAACAACAATAATAACAGTAGTAGCAACAACAATAACAGCATGTCCTCACCGCCGCTGCACCACCAGCAACACTCGCAACTGCTGCAACAGATGCAGCAGCACCAACAACAATACCAGCAACAAGCCCAACAAGCCCAGCAGAACCAACAGAATCAACAGAACCAACAACAACAACAAGCCGCCCAACAACAGAACAACATGCAGCCGCCACCACCGGGTGCCGAGGGGCAGAGTCCTGGGACCCCCAGCATCGCTCCGCCACAGACACCCGAGCCTCCGCAGGACGCCAACCTACATTCGCCCTCTGGCGGACCTTCCAACGCCCTGGCGCTCCTACCAGAGGCCAAGATGATGAACGATAAATTAGCCACCGAATTTCAGGTAATCTAAGTCACTACACTAACTGGGGACAAAAACAGTACTCATCGAAAACATTTCAAACCTCCCCAAAAATGTTTTAGTGGATATGCATGTGTATAAATAATAATATTAGTACATTATTAGGGTGTCACGGTCTTTGCAAAGAGTCAAATATTTTGGTAGATACGAACGTGTTTGACTAAATACCAATACACCGTTAGTTATGTTATTTTGTTAAAAATATTTCTCTTAAATTATTTGTATATTTTTTTTACTTTATAAACTTAATAAATAATATTTTACCGACATTTTTTCCTGAAGGAGTTATAATTACGTGTCAAACCATGTGGTAGTGTAAAAATGTCCTAAGTTTCGCATTTTACATAAATTAATTACATGTTGTGTTTACTTGTTTAAAACAAAAATATATCTTACATAATTAAGATGGTGATTTTCACTAGCCGTATAAATGTGAGTAACTAAATAAAAAAAAAAAAAATTAAAATTAAGACTAAAAGTTAAATTAAAATTTCTATCGGAATAGAAATTTAATTTATAGTTTAATTTGTCCTACTTCAGTAGTTAAATTAGTTTAGACAATATACACTAGATTTGTGTAAAATAATATCAGCCAACAATAATGTAGGTTCTTACGCCACTTGCATCCGATAAACGAATTATCCTAAAAATAGTTAAATCCGTGCATTCTTTAAAACAGAATTTATTTCGTAACAATCCTTGACAAGAACGGTCATATTATTTACGTAAAAATCACTGCTTTTGATTCTCTTAAAAAAAATTATCGTTCACGGTAATCATACGAAAATAAAGTCTATCATACTTGTTACGCTTTATCATCCCCGTAATTAAGCTAACTATTGTTTTTATTAAATTATTCAATAGGTTTTTCCGTTTATTTTTATGACACTATCTCGTATCTCAAGTAACCGCGATAAGCGGAAGGGTTCGGTGCATTTCGCGGGCCCGTCGGCTCCTGTTCCCGGGGCTTTGGGGGTGCAAGCCCGCCAAAAACTCGCCCCGCCGGCCCTAATAAAATCCAACTGACACATGAAACTTGTTAATAAACATTATACTGCAACGGCATCTTTTAAAATAGCTTATATCGCAATCACAATAATTCGTATTATTACTTTTTTGTAGTTTACGTTACTTACAGTTTTATATAATTAAAAGCAACAAAATAAAATTATTTACAGTACATTATTTAAAAATTAGGTAAAATGGGTCCTTTTGCTGGATTAATTTTAGTTATGTAATCATATAATTTACCTAAAGCTATTTGTATTTAGTCATCAGCTAGAGTTTACATAATATTTAGTATTTGTTTAAGGGTATACTTTGTAATATGGTTGCCATGAGGTTGATTTATTATGGTTTGCAAGATTAAGATTTGTCAGTATGAGAAAATATTTTGTTGTTTGAGAAATGTTTAGTTATTTGGTATGGAATAATCTTGTATTACAAGAATGTATTTAACGTTTTTCAGGGCTATTCTTCACTACAGTGATGCCAAGGAAAATTTGTAGCATGGTTTTCAGTTATAAGAAATATCGTCAAAATCACCAGAAGAAGAATTATTTTCTTTCTAAAAAGGAAACAAAAAAAACATTAAAAAATCTAGCACTTTGTACAAACTACGGCTTTGTACTCTAAAAAAATCCTACTGAAAATATTTTACCTATGACAAATTGTCGTTAAAAATAAACTGTCTGTAAGCATGGCTGGGAATTTAAACTACCACTTTAGTAGAGAATATAATACAAAATAAAAAATAAACTGTCTTTAGTAACCAAGTATGATTGTTTGCAATCAAAATCTTTAAAAAATAAGTTACTTAACTACTTCTTCTTATTTTAAAAATTGCAAATACTGACCATAATGTACCATCAAATTTGTTCATAAATAATCTACAACATAAATAATTACCAAAGTGTTACGGTGATTTTTATTTAACTTTGACAAGTAAAGTTACGCTAGGCTAACTAAGAAAGATAATTACTGTTAAAGTACGCGTTAAACACAAACTTAACACAACCGGGAGGAAGCAAATTTATAAATAATAAGTTAACCTTTAAAAAATGTTTTTCTTGAAATTTTCTGGCGATGTTCTGTTATTTTTTACACCCTATTCACCGATTTGTCAAATAAATTTGTCCTTAAGAACGCAATATTCATAAACCATAGAGAAAAAACAATTACACATTTTGATAGTAAGAACATGCATTAGAAATTGTTTTAGAGTAATATCCCTTCAAACGAATAAAAGGTATTTTAGTATATATAAATTATTATTAAATTACTCAAGTGTTTTTACTAGTAGGAAATGTTTAATTTGTCTTTGGTAAAAAACTAAAACTATTTTGTTGAGTCTAAATGATATTTTAAAAGACCACAAACAATTTAAGCGTTTTTTAAATAATTACATTTCCAGCATTTTTCTTCAACCCAATGTAACGAATAAAAAATTTATGAACTAAACTTTAACTGCATACAATTGTCTAAATATTCAACAGCCCCTCATCTGCATAAGTTAAATGTTTATCAAACACTAACAAATAACACAATTTAATTTCAGGAGTTTTTTAGCGCTGTGAAATAAAAACAATTATTCAAGTGTTTCCCAGCAATACAAATAACACAACCGACTCTAAGAATTTTTAACAAACCAACAGAACATTTCCCCATTTTTTAAATACTTCAAAAAACAAAAGAGAAATTCTTTTAAAAGCCAGATAAACTGTGAGGAACACAATTAAGACAGCTGACCACAAATATTTGCCTTTTTTGTCGGCCGGTGTTGGGGAAAGGTTCGTTAAAAATACGGAAGCGTGCCACCCCCCCCCTCCCCCCATTGACACCGAAGCGCCGTTTAGCGCCGTTTTTTACCTCAGAGGTTTTTAAAGCCGCTCACACACTCCCCAATCTGTTCCCACGGCTAACTTTTAATTGACTTAATTTTTATTCTGTTACACGTTGTTTACTAACTTCCTCTGATCCCTTTAACTTTTAACACTTTTATTTTCGCGTCAATAATCGTTTTAAAATGTTTCTGGTTTTGTTTTTTAGAGTGTGGCGAGTTTTTAATGAATTTATATGAGTTTTAAGCTTTTTTACAGTATCCGCACTGAAATGTAAAGTGGTGTTGGTTTTGATTCGAGGAGTTTGATTCACTCTTCTGTTGCCTTCGCGTATTCTCTGGTAAAATATTTTTGTAGAGTAATTCTTTTGACCACAAATACAGTACAGATGTAGCTTGAATATATAATTTTACAAAAATTATTAACGTTTTAACATTTTCTACATTACAAGTAACAAACTGTAAACAGGGTTTAACTTGACATATTCAGTGTATACACTTTAGCAAATTAATTTGCCCAAACGATCAACACAACTTTCACATAAAGGCACGCCCTTTGTACTACAGAATATGAACCCTGACCATAGAATGGTCTAGTGTAGGGAGGGGGGGGGTCTGATGTTTGGTCATTCTAAGGGTGGGGGGCGATGTACTGGTCTACTAAAGGTCTAGCATCCAATACGGATCAATACCATCAACACTTCTAGCTTCCAGCATCATGCACAACTGACCATGGTAGGCTCCCCTTTAACGTCCATGGTATAGTAGACCTGCGGCATTGGAATTGCTGTTTGTGCAAATGAGGGGAAAAGCCTTTTTTACAAAAATAAACACTAATTTCGTGTGATCCAAACTATCTTTAATATGGAGTTAAACTTAAAAGTAAAAATAAATTTAATAAATTACATATTTTACAAGAAAAATTATATAAATTAATTTTGAGCTTTAAAACGAATGAAAGCTTTCTTAAAAACAACAAAGAAATTTTATTGTAAAAGATAGTTTTAAAAAAATACAATTTTCTTAAAAGGCTCATATAAATTACCCAAATGCCCCTAAGCTCAGTCACTAATTGCACATAATCCAATATCCGAAAAGTAAATAAAAAAACGTCTTATATACGTTTTAAGTGTTATAAGACGTTTCTTTTATTTACTTTCCGTAAATTTAATAACTCGTACAACGCTGATCAATAAGTTATCATCTAATACCAAAAGGCAATAAATAGGCAAATTACTTAAATCCATTCTAGGTCCTTTACAAGAATTGTTAAGAAATTTACAAATCATAAAAAATATTGAAAGTCAAATTTAAGAGAAATGTCTAAAACATATTTCTACTGTAGCGACAATACTTAGTGTCTCACGAGGAAAACCGTTGAATCAGTTCCACAATCGAATAACAACAAAATACTTATTTCACCCACTTCCAATCAGTCTCAAGTTAGAAAGAAACTAGTAACATTGGCCTTATCAAGGGATAGTAATTTCAGCAGTCCTATTTACAACCAAAACCGCAAATTTACCTATTTCTGCGCTCTATCCCAAGTGTTATTCATAGTTGAACCCTCTCATTTGCTCACCCTTATAGCCAGTGCCTAGTCCAGTAGTACACAATGGAGATTGGTTGGGCGAAATTCTGTGTTGGTATTAGCATAGTACAAGCTCTGCACACATCTGTTCCCCCACTTTCTGGTTGTCTGGAAAAAATGTTTATATTGAGTTTCAATTAAATATGCTTAACACGTACAAATTTTAATTTATCACCAGAATTAAAATTTGAACTTAACATTGGTTGGTGTACAAATACCCTCTATAAACAACACATTAGTTTTATACAGGGTGTCCATAAAAAACGTTTCTGGACTTTGAGAGACTAATCCTCATACTAAAAGGAATAAACAAGTTTATGTGAAGGTATGTCCGAAAATGTATATTTACCCAGATATCCGCCATTTTGTTTTTTATGCAAAAATATATTTATCTGTGAAGTTTTTCATTCGATGATTATTAAATTTGGTAAGTATGTTAACATACACAAGACCTATTATAGAAAAAACAATAAAGTTGGTCTGATTGTAAATTTCAAAATGGCGGCAGTTTGAATTTCTATAACTTAAATAACTCAAAAACGGCTAATTCTATGACAAAATGTCAATATAACTTTTTTTTGAATTTTTGATTCCCTATAAACTAAAAAACTTTGTATTTCAGTTATTTGTCGCCTGATTTTTATGGACACCCTGTATATATATATAAACACTCGAAAACGTCTAATTTTTTTTTGTAAGTAAATCAAAGTATTTATTTTTTATCCACTCAAAATGAATCAAAGATTATCAAGGATCTTTCAAAATATGTATAATAATAAACTTGTTTCAACATTTTGAGCAATTCAATTAACATTTGCTATGTCCATCGATGTATGGCTATGTCTTAATTTTAAAAACTATTTATTTTTTCCGTTTTTACAATCATAAATTTGCCCTGTTATGTAAATTATATCCGTTAGCGTTTCAACAATGGTTTGTGTATTTGTTTTATTTTATATTGGAAAATTAAAATACTATCAATATCCCACCAAACTTCCCAACCATTACATTAATTGCTCTATTTTACAGTTAGATTTCCTAACCCAATGTAACATCCCCTAACACACATAGGCACAATTTAAACAATATTTTTTATTGTGTCCAATGAGTTATTAAAAACTTATCTTACAGCATATGTGTACTCTTAATTCACACTTTTAAATAAAAGTTCATTATACATATTTACATAGTGTATACACCCCCTCCTACTTAGTTGCTTTGATCAATTATTCCCCCACTATCGAACCTGCCTTTACATTTGTCGTCTGACATTAGATATAATATTCGCTTTGTTTAGACCAGGGGAAGTATTTTTCCGTGCGACTGGAGAAAGAATGTCGGTGGCGCTTGCGCCTAGGGGTTGGCCCGCGCCCCCACGCCTCGTCAGGCGCCCCCAGCGTTAGTCCCGCCGCATCCAGCGCCCTGGTACAACCCTGTAACTCTTTTAGGCTCAACAAATCAAAAATTTGTTTTAATATGTCACATTAGGGTTATTGGGAATTAAAAATAGTTTGAATGAATCAAAATGCTCGACACCTGAATGCTTGTATTTATTTTGGTCAAATAAGTAACCTACCAGTTTTTATCTTGCTAAATGTTTTCAATTTAGTAACTGATAAAGGCAATAAGGAATTCCAAAGTCCAAATACGTTAAATAATATCAAGGGAATATTTGGTATTTTAAACGTAACATGTATTTTTTCCAGCATAATGGGTGGTTAGTTGTTAAAACCAAGTTTGATAACAAATACAGCACAAAAAATGCCTTTTAAATAATAATCATTAAAAATCCTTTAGGACTTTCAGACATGAATAATCTAAATCACTATTAATTTAAGTGATGTAAAACCCATTGATTATAAAGACATACAACAACAAATATACTCATGTAAATCAATTATACTAAAGTTAAAAAATATTATCAAAATATTTAGGCCCATCATTTAAAAATCACATAATAAACTTTACAATCAATCAAAATATATCCTACGGTCTTGGTAAAAACATGGTTAACTTAACTATCAACATGTTTTATATAATCTGTATAGTAGCATTCATCTAACCAAAAGCGACAGTGACCTATACAGTGTATATGTATAACGTCTTATACTTATCTCAGTGCTAAATCGATATATCACGTTCACTGTCAAATACATATATCACACTACAACAGTCGATTCAGCCAAGTCTAAACTTCCACTAAATTAAAAACTGAAATATTATAACTATACCATTCTCTTTGAAGTTTAATACTAATAAACTTAAACATTTTAAACATATTTTAGTCAATTTAAACTTTTTTTATAAAGGTAAACACTTGTACCTATTTATTTTCTCAAAACTATTTAATTTTAATCATCAATAACATTATTAAAATGATACAGTTACTGCAAGGATGTACAGGTAAAATTTATTACAAAATTGTATGTATTTTGTACAGACCAGGGGTTGAAGATTTGTACTGTATGGTGTTTTATTGAGCTAACCATGATAATTTTCACGTTGGCACACCAGGAAATAGTGTGATATGTAACAATATGTTCTTTACTTTAACAGACCAGAATGACAATGTTGTATTTACTACTATTAGGCTATGGTTTCCAATGCATAAGGACAACATCAGAAGAACACTATGGTACTGCCACTCCACAAGGTTTATGGTACCGATGGCAACAATGGTTTTATTCACTCCATCAAACCAGGATAACACCATTATAATAAGATGTTATGGTATTATAAAATGGTACTAACCATGGTGTTTTTCACGCTTCCGGACCAGAACCGACCCAATAGCGCCATAAGCGACCGAACACTAGAAGAATGTTGGTCTACCCTCCAACGAGTGAGTCAAACTTGGAATCTTCTAAGTGGCGTAGAGTATCTTTCCATCCCATTATTTCGCATGAGCTTGGCTTTTCATTTTTTCAGTTTCCTCGGACTAATGTTTATTTATTTTTTGCTGAGTATTGTGTGTACCTTGACTATATATTTTCAGATGAAAGAGTTTAAACAGTTTGATATCATTGTCAATTATGGAGATATTTTGAGGTTGAGAACTTAGCCTATTAAAGAGGCAAGGAAATAACAAGGATTCGAAATAACAATGAATTAATATGTTTAATTAATCAACTACCGAATACTATCAAGTGAGTCACTTAACAAATTAATCAGAGTCATGCGGTTCTCAAACCCAAGAATATTTAGATAACAGCTATCTTAAGGCGTTCAAGATTCCTTAAAAGTTTGAATTTGAATGCCGTTTCATTTTTAAGGTTATTGATTTACTTCCAAGCATGTATAAGAATGAGATTGATTGTTGTTTTTGTGATTTTCATTTTTCCTTTAATGTATGCATGTAAAGAAAAATAGCGATTTACTTCAAAGGACAGAATGTATATTAACAATAACCATATTTGTCATTTGAATATGCTGTAATATAAGCTACAGAGATAAGATACAAGTTACCAGATTTGGCTTTAGTCATCCTTAGAATGCTACAAAACCCACAAAGCAAACAAAACAGTCACTGCAGGACCGTAAATTATAATGTAGTCTAAATGTTGGATTTTAAACGAGGTATTCAGAGCCTAGTATGTGTACGTTACGAGGGCTATTGCAATTACTGGCGATTTACAGCCTAATATTCCCATGACGAATGGAAGTAGTTGCGCAAAAAGAGAACCGATGGATCAGATAGGGGAGACCGGTCTGCGAATTACCATACTGCATCGTCAGTGCACTTGCCATCCTCTAGCCTAGTGCATCCTACACTGTCCCACTATACTGCATCACCAGTACACTTGCCATCCTCTAGCCTAGTGCATCCTACACTGTCCCACCATACTGCATCACCAGTGCACTTGCCATCCTCAAGCCTAGTGCATCCTACACTGTCCCACCATACTGCATCACCAGTGCACTTGCCATCCTCAAGCCTAGTGCATCCTACACTGTCCCACCATACTGCATCACCAGTGCACTTGCCATCCTCTAGCCTACTGCATCCTACACTGTCCCAACATACTGCATTGCCAGTGTACTTGCCATCCTCTAGCCTAGTGCATCCTACAGTGTCCCATCATACTGCATCGCCAGTGCACTTGCCATCCTCTAGCCTAGTGCATCCTACACTGTCCCACCATACTGCATCACCAGTGCACTTGCCATCCTCTAGCCTAGTGCATCCTACACTTTCCCACCATACTGCATCACCAGTGCACTTGCCATCCTCTAGCCTAGTGCATCCTACACTGTCCCACCATACTGCATCACCAGTGCACTTGCCATCCTCTAGCCTAGTGCATCATACACTGTCCCACTATACTGCATCACCAGTACACTTGCCATCCTCTAGCCTAGTGCATCCTACAATGTCTCACCACATTGCATCGCCAGTACACTTGCCATCCTCTAGCCTAGTGCATCCTACAATGACCCAACATACTGCATCACCAGTGCACTTGCCATCCTCTAGCCTAGTGCATCCTACACTGTCCCACCATACTGCATCACCAGTGCACTTGCCATCCTCTAGCCTAGTGCATCCTACACTGTCCCACCATACTGCATCACCAGTACACTTGCCATCCTCTAGCCTAGTGCATCCTACACTGTCCTACCATACTGCATCACCAGTACACTTGCCATCCTCTAGCCTAGTGCATCCTACACTGTCCCACCATACTGCATCACCAGTGCACTTGCCATCCTCTAGCCTAGTGCATCCTACACTGTCCCACCATACTGCATCACCAGTGCACTTGCCATCCTATAGCCTAGTGCATCCTACACTGTCCCACCATACTGCATCACCAGTGCACTTGCCATCCTCTAGCATAGTGCATCCTACACTGTCCCACCATACTGCATCGCCAGTGCACTTGCCATCCTCTAGCCTAGTGCATCCAACACTATCCCACCATACTGCATCACCAGTGCACTTTCCATGCTCTAGCCTAGTGCATCCTACACTGTCCCACCATACTGCATCACCAGTGCACTTGCCATCATCTAGCCTAGTGCATCCTACACTGTCCCACCATACTGCATCGCCAGTGCACTTGCCATCCTCTAGCCTAGTGCATCCTATACTGCCCCACCATGCTGCATTACCAGTGCACTTGCAATCCTCTAGCCTAGTGCATCCTACACTGTCCCACCATGCTGCATCACCAGTGCACTTGCAATCCTCTAGCCTAGTGCATCATACACTGTCCCACCATACTGCATCACCAGTGCACTTGCCATCCTCTAGCCTAGTGCATCCTACACTGTCCCACCATACTGCATCGCCAGTGCACTTGCCATCCTCTAGCCTAGTGCATCCAACACTGTCCCACCATACTGCATCGCCAGTGCACTTGCCATCCTCTAGCCTAGTGCATCCTACACTGTCCCACCATACTGCATCGCCAGTTCACTTGCCATCCTCTAGCCTAGTGCATCCTACACTGTCCCACCATACTGCATCGCCAGTGCACTTGCCATCCTCTAGCCTAGTGCATCCTACACTGTCCCACCATACTGCATCACCAGTTCACTTGCCATCCTCTAGCCTAGTGCATCCTACACTGTCCCACCATACTGCATCGCCAGTGCACTTGCCATCCTCTAGCCTAGTGCATCCTACACTGTCCCACTATACTGCATCACCAGAACACTTGCCATCCTCTAGCCTAGTGCATCCTACACTGTCCCACTATACTGCATCACCAGTACACTTGCCATCCTCTAGCCTAGTGCATCCTACACTGCCCCACTATACTGCCACCAGTGCACTTGCCATCCTCTAGCCTAGTGCATCCTACACTGTCCACCATACTGCATCACCAGTGCACTTGCCATCCTCTAGCCTAGTGCATCCTACACTGTCCCACCATACTGCATCACCAGTGCACTTGCCATCCTCTAGCCTAGTGCATCCTACACTGTCCCACCATACTGCATCACCAGTGCACTTGCCATCCTCTAGCCTAGTGCATCCTACACTGTCCCACCATACTGCATCACCAGTACACTTGCCATCCTCTAGCCTAGTGCATCCTACACTGTCCCACCATACTGCATCACCAGTGTACATGCCATCCTCTAGCCTAGTGCATCCTACACTGTCCCACCATACTGCATCACCAGTGCACTTGCCATCCTCTAGCCTAGTGCATCCTACACTGTCCCACCATACTGCATCACCAGTGCACTTGCCATCCTCTAGCCTAGTGCATCCTACACTGTCCCACCATACTGCATCGTCAAACACCTTACTGCACCTCATTGAACTGTACTGTATAATCCGTTTCTTGGTTAGTTATTTTCATAAGGAACACGCCACACGTATTTTAGCAGTTATTTAATTTAATTCAATATCAAATTTTAAAAATTTTATCATTTTTAGTAAAATTAGCGGCCTAAAATTACCTTTATTGAATTAACTCGCAATATAATTTCAAAAATGATATTTTCTACAGACAATAACATTACTCAGCCAAAACGTCAAGATTAATTTTCAAAATATTCACTCAATAATGACTATTCAACAGTCCAAAGTACCTCAACGTCTAAAAACAACAAATTACTCTACAAATAAAACGAGAGCTTACCAAGGGACAAATCCAATCCATGTCGTAATTGCAAACGAATTAACGGAGGACTCACCTTCAGTCGGCAATCTCCCACTTTAACGTTCCGGAAATAGATTTTCACACTTTTTTAAATTGAAACGGGATATGAAGGGGTCCTGCGCCCCAGGCCGTAATTGTGCTCCACCTGAGACAAAAAACGGATGAGCCGTTTAAACAATCGGGTCTAGAGGATACCGTTTTGTTTTTTGTCAGCCGAGTGATATGCATTTGATGAATACATTAGCGTAAGGGTCTTTTGGCTATTTGTTTCCCACGGGGTGTTGGTGATGGGTGTCCGTTGCTCTTCTCAACATCTTTTTGGTAGCTCTTAATGAGGTTGTTGGAGCAAACCACGCTAAAAATACCTTGGGAGTTAATTGTACACGCAAATAAATAAACAACTACCAAAAGGATGAAAAATTTAAGGTTTTCTTCCTCTTTGACTGTCAATATTGTCAAACAAATAATTTATACCTCAATTCCCCTTTCTTAGACGAAAGTTAATTTCACTCAGAACTCGTTTATAAATGAACAGCTGTGGAGTGCAGTTTGAGTGCATCATGAGACCCGGAACCCGTCTCAGCTGATAACAGATAACCTCAGTGATAAGAAGTATCACCCCGCGTCACCCGGCACTCATCTCTAATCCTCTCAATATCGCTTTATATTGGGAAAGCATTTTTGTCTAATAAACTTGATTATGCCTTTAGTTTACATTTGTAATATAACGGTGTTTTTCAAGTTAGCAGGTGCAAAGTCTTGTAATTTTACATTGCAAATGTTACAGTTTTAAGTAGGCCTATTGTGCAATACATCGATGAACTAGATACGTACAGGGCTAACCCTAAAGGCTTTGGAAAATATTGAATTTCTCGAAAAGAATTATGACCTTAGGGATCAATCTGAAACGAGTTGATGCCTTGTAATATTGTTTATGCACAAACTTACGAAAGAATTTAAGAAGAAACGGATTTTAAAGTCTTTGAAGAATGGAATCGAATTGCGTTGCCAGTTTTACTAATTATTTACGTACCGAAATTAATTATTGTATTTTAAGTATATTTTTCTTTACTGAGAATGTTCCCATTTGTTGAATAGCCTCTATCTGTATATAATAGCTTTCGGTGTGCGAGATTAGTTTTTAGGGTTCACCACATGATGTGGTAAATCTCATGTGGTGATTAATAATATTTGAACCCGTGTCTCTAGGAGAGAAGTCCAGCGCTTCACCAACATACAGCCTTATCATTTAGTT